TAGGATGTGTGCGTGTGAGAGAGAGAGACAGAGAGAGAGAGAGAGGGACAGAGAGACAGCTGACTACAGAATTCTTCTTAGGAAAGAAACTGTCTATATTTAGGAAAATACCTTAGGGAGTAATTTAAGATGGATAGTGATATCTGAGGGCACAAATTAGCAGAAGCCAAGTCACTGGTGGATAAATAGAAACTCTTACCGCATTCAAATGAATAGGAATTTAGGGGTGTGAGAGAGAACGAAGGAGAATAGGTAGGGAGAAAGGACATGGAAGAACAATGAGAGGAAGTTGTTAAAGGATTTCGAAGATTTCTAATTTACAAATTTAAGCCACATAGAATATACTGTTACACTATAGAAGCCCCTCCCTTCCATCTTCCCAAGTTTCTAAAAGGTTTGCCACATACACAAACAGGGAATATTGGAAAGTGTGTGTGTGTGTGTGTGTGTGTGTGTGGTAAAATCAAGGGGAAAAGGGTCAACTTCCAATTATGGATTAACTCACTATAGAAGAGGGACAGAAAGACTATCCATAAACTACAGTAACTCAGCAGAAGCAAAAGCTTGGAGCCAAAGATGACCCTGAGAATACGAGCCGCAAAGAATTTGCAGAAACCTTGGGGAGAACATCATACATGACAGGACATGGAATGAAGGTTCAAGTCAATTATATCTAGATCTTAAGGGCAAGGAGATCCCAGCACACAAGTGGTTTACAATCATAAGTAAGTGGAGTGTGAGTAATTGAAAAATGAAGGTCCTAAAAAAAAAAAGGAGGAAGGAATAAAAGCAGGCAAGCAACGGTCACTTAGAGCTCTTATGGGGTTGTTAAGAGTAAGTCATGCCAAACTAACCTCATTTCCTTTATAACTGGGGTTACTAGAGTAATAAATCTGTGATGTCACAGACAATACATCTTGATTTCAGGAAGGCCTTTGAGCAAGTGCTTGAGGATAAAATAAAGAAACATGGTTTATATAGTTAGTAGACCAATGAAGCAAGTTTGAAGCTCATTTCAACAACTTTACTCAAAATGTGTTAATATTTGATTGATGTCATCTGAAAGGAAGCTAATATCACTGCTTTCCAAGTCATTAAACAATTTTTCATGAATACTTTGGTTAAAGAAATCTGAAAATGACACCAGGTTAGGAGGAGAAGACAAAATCAAAAATCAAAAACATCTGGATGAACTGTGACAAAAAGTGAAAATTAACAAGATAAAATTCAATTAATATAAATGTGACATCTACTTTTACATATAAAAAGATAGAACTAGATCAGAGGAGGAAGACCTGGATTAAGAGTAGTTTGAGTTCAGAGGCTTGGAGGTTTTAATTGCTCACAAAATCAGTATGAACCAACAGCATGACAAGGCTATCATAATAGGTAAGATAATGTTAGATATTAAATCAGGGAGGCAACTGTCCAAGTACAATACGGAATGTTCACATCAGAGAGTTTTTTATTTCAAGATGTTTTGATTTCAACATTTTATGAGAGTTACCTATAACCTACAATATGCACAGAAAAGGATTTCAGAGATGATTTGGAAGACTTCTATTTCTTGTATTGGCAAATTAGTATTTCAGTCCAATCCTTCTACTGAAGAAAACTAATAAGATTTGATAAAACATAAAATACTTCATTTTAAAAACATCAAAGAGCTAATAAAACAGTGAAAAATTTCCTGAGATGAGCTCCAGAAGAGGTAATGTTTAGCACACAAACAGCCATTAACGTGAGAAGACAAGATACCATGAGCAAAAACGGCATAATGATAGCACAAGCAGACACCCAGGGAGCCCAGACACTGAAGTTTTCAAACTTTTACCATAAAACAAACCTGCTTACCAAGTTCAAGTACATCAAGATCAAGACTGAAAATTTCATCAGGAAACTGAAAATCATACAAGATATGGAAATTCTAGAGTTTCCAGAGTAGTCTGAAACTGTCATACAAGGAATGTTCAAGGGTCAAGAAATTTTAGCCTAGATAAGAGAAGACACAAGTAAGGCCTAAGAGTAATCATCAGTTATTTGAAAAACGCATTTTCCTATTGCCTTGACTCTGTGTTGCTCCAGAAAGCAAAACTAGAAGCAGTGAAGGGAAGTAGCAGGGAGGCAGCTTTAAGCTCAGTTTGAGAAAAATGTCTCCAACAATTAGAATTGTCGAAAATCAGGTTCACTATCTCACACAATTGAGATGGCTATCACTGTTAGGGATCACATATATTGTTATACAGTTGTGTGCATTGCATATTGCAGGAGAATCTATTTCAGTAAGATATTAGACTGTAAGGGTACTAAAGATTCTCCACTACGATTTTTTTCATTCCAAGTAGAAATTTAATATAACCATAAACATTAGAAATATTCTAAACCACTATTTCCTGAAGTATGGTCTCAGAAAGTTCCAGGATCAACATATCATAGAAGAGTTCTAAGGTCAAGAAATTTGGGAAACTCTGGGTTAAGCAAAGTCAAGTTTCTTTGCTTCGATATTTCTCATCGATTTTAATGTGCTAATGTGCATCAAAAACATTCAAAGGGAATTTCTGTGTGCAACATTGACCATTAAAAAAAACCTTTTTTCATGTTGCATATTGATATGATAGGTTCTGCAGAATACTTTTGGGGGAAGTGTTGGGCTAAATAATCCTAATCTTGATGATCTCAAAAAAATTGTTTGTCTTCATTCTATGTGAAACCTCAAAAGAATTGAGTTGATAATGCAATTCAAATATAAATTTTTCATAAAATGAAATAATGAAAAACTATCACAATTTATCACAAAGGTCTTCCCTTTTTCATAGATGAGGTATCATTGTTGTACTATACACACTTATAAGTGATTTAAATGATCTAGCCCAAGTTCAGGCTCTGATGAGGCAACAACAAATGTGGGAGAGGGTGGTTAGAGCTAAGAATGCCTCCTCCTCCTGATATACCTAACTAAATTCCTTTAACAACCTATTATAGGCCCATAAACTTGTCTAAACATTTCTGAAAAGCTATTTATAGTTAAAGCTTTTCTAAACCTTGGAGTTCTAAGTCCCAAAAATTGTTTTTTCCTATTGCCTTGAGTAAGTTTCTTAAATTCAATATGCTTCAGTTTTTTCATCTGTAACATAGGAATCATAATCATAGGGCCGTTGTGAGGATTGAATTAAAGGACATAATTCAGCACAGTGCTTGGCACATTACCAAAAAATCATTAAATATTAACTATAATTTTTATTGCAAAAGATAGTACCTTGGTTTCTTTGATCTACACTTAACTCCTGCTTCATTTAAATGATATTATGTGTGTGAATTACCTAGCACTGTGCCTAGCAGTTAGTGGCATTCAATTAAAATGGTAGCGAAGGTGCTTGTGGTGTATATATATATATACCACATTTATATATATATAGTTACCTCCTAATTGATTATGAAGGTAGCAGTTTTCACTTTACAAAAGCCTTTCATTCTGCACTATATCAACAAATCTAGAGTCTAAAACATGGAAAATATTGGGTCATTGAAACTAGGAATTACCTGGCACTTAATCTTTCATACTCATTTCTGGTTATAGCATTTATTAATGTCTGTATTCACATATGAAAACAATGAATCTCAGAAATGTTCAGGTATTTAAGGTATTCAACAAACCAATAACCAAGTAACAAGAAACATTGCTCAATTATCTCACCTACAAATCCACTAGTAGATAGCTGCTACTGACAAGAACTAATCCCTTTCCTAAAAATCTACTTAAACAACAAAAAAGAGTATCAAATTCTTTCTTGCAGTAATAAAACTATCAAAAGAAAGGGAATATGAGAGCTTAAAGGGAAGGTCAATGTGCTTAACGGTTAAATAAGCATTAATGAGGGGCCGACCCGGTAGTACAGTGGTTAAGTTTGTGTGCTCCGCTTCAGCAGCCCGAGGTTCGTGGGCCCGGATCCTGGGCATGGACCCATGCACCTCTCATCAAGCCATGCTGCGGCGGCGTCCCATATACAAAATAGAGGGAGATGGGCACAGATGTTAGCTCAGGGCCAATCTTCCTCACCAAAGGAAGAAAATAAATAAATAAACATTAATGAATAATAGAAAGATGCAAAGACAGGTTTAGTTTAGCACTTAGAGAAAATGATTTTGACAAGGTCCATCAGACAAGGCCATCATTTGCTTAATGGAGTAGTGATATTACAGTCACCAGGTACCTTTACAAAAATGCAGATGTATTTATGGAAGGAAGAACAAGGGTCTTATCTAAAGCAGGAGATAGAACAGAGACTCCAAGAGGTTCTTTGCAACCTTTTCATCTGGACACTATTAATGTCTTGGTCAAACTAAATAAATTAAGAAAGTAAAAAATGCTTTAATAAAATTCTCTTTCTACTAAAGCTTTGCTAAATGGATTTGTTTAGCAAAATAAAGCAAGCAGGATATCTTGCTGCCTTTGTAGTCTCCTAGTTAAAATATATTCTTTACTCTTAATCCATTTATACTTTTTCATTAATGGATTACTACAGATATCACATGATACCTGTAAACTGTTTATCTTGGATCAAGAGGAGCTAGCAAAGTAGTATTGATTTACAAACTAGGATAAACTTCCAAATGTCTTAAGCTTTAAATTTTCTCTTTTTCAAATTATTTATACTTATATATTTATTTTCTATATTATTATATATATTTATTTATATATTTATATAGGACATAATAATTTTTGCATAACCATTTGGTCGAAAGCCTAGAACTTTCTCCTAGTCATTTCTTTATCAGTAAGTCATCTTATTTTTTTCAATCTCCCACTGGCTTTACAACAAACTTTTGGCTTTGTTCTTTTGAGGTATACAGTAGTTTCACAACCCAATTCAGTCAGCTTCTAATGGGTGACATTAAGAAATAAGAGTGAGGTTGGGATGCACTAGGATTGATGCCAGGTTCAGAGAATGGAAGTAGAAGTGACAACAATGCTAAGGTAAACTAGGCCATCTTTTACTTACAGCTGACACGTGCTGCAAAAGACACACGACATCAATCATGTCTGCGAGGATAAGGAGTCTGGTAACTGCAGCCAACAAGGCACGAGCAGCTTGAACCACAGCCTCCCTTTTCGGGAGATAACAGGGGTCATCTGCAAATCTCTCAGCTGATACTTTCAGAGCTTCACCTGAAAAACACAAGCCCCAATAAGTTATAATTTAAGTTTCAGCTACGCCTATTTCAGCATTTATCATCCAACGTAATTCCAAGTACATTCCATGACTAAGCATAATATTAAAATACTGTCAGTTGACACTATAACTTTGTGTTTTAATAAACAATGCAGTTTCAAATTGACATTTCTTTGTGATAAATGCTCTGGAGTTTAAGAAGCATGATACCATTTTCCTGGAAGAAAACCATGTTCAATTGACTAGCAATATCTAGTAAATTTGTCATCAACTTCTACATTTGCTGAATCTCATTTGCTGTGAAAGGTTTCATTACTAAGACTTCAATCGGAAACAATCTTCCTTATAAAAATAAGGTAAATCTTCATTGAGTTACTTTCCAAAGCAATAGATGTTAGAAAAGAACTAACCTTTAAGATAATAAGACAGCAGCTCTCTGACAAAAGTTTAACATAGGCAAATTTATCCTAAACTGTCAATATAATGAATAAACTATATCCTAAACTTAGGGTCACAGAAATATTTCATAATTTTTAGAGAAATATGTCCACTATTTTTAAAGTTTTTTCATTTAAAATATGTTCTATTATAAAAGTAATGTGTACTCATTCATTTTCAAAAGCTCACAGTTCAGAAGGGTATAAAATGAAAAGAAAAAGTCCCTTTACACTTCTCCAGTAAAATAATTGTTAAAGATTTACCACATTCACTATTTTTTGTTTTTCAATTTAAACTTATTTTTTTAATTGATGTTTTAATAGTTTTTAACATTGTGAAATTTTGGGTTGTACATTTTTGTTTGTCCATCGCCATATATATGTCTCCCTTCACCCCTTGTGCCCACCCCCCACCCCCATTGCCCCTGGTAACCACAAGACAGTTTTCTCTGTCCATGTGTTGGTTTATATTCCACATATGAGTGAGATTATACAGTGTTTGTCTTTCTCTTTCTGGCTTACTTCACTTAACATAATACGCTCCAGGTCCATCCATGTTGTTGCAAATGGGACGATTTTGTCTTTTTTTACAGCTGAGTAGTATTCCATTGTATATATATATATATACCACATCTTCTTGATCCAGTCGTCAGTCGAGGGACACTTCAGTTGCTTCCACTTCTTGGCTATAGTGAATAATGCTGCAATGAACATAGGGGTGCATAAGCCTCTTTGGATTGTTGGTTTCAGGTTCGTTGGATAGATT